AGTGGGGTCCGAGTTGTCTCGGAGTAAGGGATGAGTAACTTCAGAGCGAGGGTTGACCTCGGAGTAACGATGGCGAACGTGACCACCTCGGAGTAAGGGATGAGCAACTCTTGAGTAAGGACTACTCCCCTCCCGCCTGATTTTTGTGATCTCAATTTGTGTCAATTGTGACCTGGAGTAATGTCTGAGTAACCTCAATGTAGCAAACCTCGAGTGACTCCGAGATAGTGAGCTGTGGCAAGGTCTGAGTAACCTTGGAGTAAGAACTGTGAAGCCCAAGGGGATGGGCTGGTGTGTAAAGGGTGAGTAAAACCGCAGCGGGCAGCGTGGGAGGAGTATCCGTGGAGTATCCGAGGAGTAACCTCAGAGGAAAGGCCTGGAAGAGCGGGGGGAGCGCAGGCCGAGTAACGAAGGAGTAAGGACGTGGCAAACTCAGCGCCAGGGCCGAGGGGGGCGTGGCTCTGAGTAAAGGGCGAGTAGCAAAGAAGGCGCTGCCAGGGAACCCCGAACCCACCCCCGGGGGTTCAACGGGGCCTCAGGAACCTCTGAGTAACCTCTGAGTAACCTCTGAGTAACCTCTGAGTAACCTCTGAGTAAGCACTAAGTGTTGTAAGGCCTCAGTCCCTTCCGCCACGCGAGCGTGGAGCGAATCAAAACGTGCCAACGTAACCTGCGAGTAAGGCCTGAGCAATCTGCGAGTAAGACGAGGCAGGCCAGGCCTGGAGTAAAGCCGGAGTAGAGCTTGGAGGATCAAAGCCATAGCCGGGGACGGCCGAGTAACCCGCGAGCAAGGGCCGAGCAGCGGCGGAGGAAGCGCCGAGTAACGGCGGAGTAAGCGCAGAGTGAGGGTGGAGAGGGAAGTAACCCCGGAGTAACCCCGGAGTAACCCCGGAGTAAGGGGGGAGTAGCAATAGAAGTACCCGACAACGCAAAAGGATGAGGCCGGAGTAAGGAGCCAACAGAGTTATTCCCTGCGAGTAACTCCGGAGTAAGTTCCATCCGGAAGGAGCGATAAATTCAAAGTTACTCAGGGTGAGTAAACTCGGAGTAAGGATCTCCAGGAGGAACCTTGGAGTAA